TTCATTGGGATGAAGTCCAGAGGTAAGAATATCAACACTTTACATTTAGGAAGTTAGTAAAGCACCTTTTATAACTCTGTTTACGTACACATAGAAATATGATTACATTTGTGCATTTGTCGGATCATTTTATACATTGATTTTCATGCATTCAAGATAAACATTTGATCAGTTCATGTCATTCCCTGCGAATCAAACCCACGTCTCTGTTGCTTGTGAACACGAATTATGATGATTTTGTGACACATTTTGTATTTAATAAAAATTTTATGGCAACACTATGAAAAAAAATCCTATTATAACAATATAGGAATATTAAATAATTCATTACTTTTATTTAATCATTTAATTTAATTATTTAATTAATCTATTATTATTATTAACAAAATAAATAAAAAATATTTGAATATAAATATTATAAATATTTAAATTTATATATTTAGTATATATATATATATATATATATATATATATATATAGAGAGAGATAAATGTGTGTGTATATATATATATATAATTTTTGTTTAGAATATAAATAATATTTATAATAAATTATATATTAATAAATACTTTTTCCTATACTAACATAACACTGAATATATTGCATCATGAAATGCACAGCAGAAATGACACGCTTCACTTTTAATTTCTGATCATCGTTGTGTATAAATTCCCTCACATTTGATGTTTGTTATAATTTTGATGATTATGGCTAAGTCAAAATTAGCATATTGTGAAAAGGTTTTCATATCTGTAATCCATAATCATCAACATTATAACAAATAAAGGCTTGAAATATCTCACTTTGCATGTAATGAGTCTATATAATATATTAGTTTCAGCTTTTAAGTTGAATTACTGAAATAAATGAACTTTTGCACCATATTCTCATTTTTCCAGTTTCACCTGTATACATATATAGATATAAGTAAGTAATGCATGTCACTGAAGCTTGGGTCTTTGTTCTGGAAGACACACACACACACACAGTGTGTGTCCTGTGCGCTCGAGACCCTGTTTGTGACCGTCTGTTCCTCCGACTGACTAATTGACTCGGGATTCACGGCGGAGTGACAGGTGGGAATTGAAAAATACGTAACGTCTTGTTTTCCCCGCCGGTTCACAGAAGATCTGTGGAAGTGTGTGTTTATGATGTTCAATAAAGCCCGTGACAGGCTGTGTTTATGTGGAGGATGAAGACGGTCTCTGTCAAAGCAAAGCTCAACCCTTTCTGTTTCTTCCTCAACAACAACTCCTTTCAGAAGCTTTATTTCAGATTTCAGACTCCACGAAGATTAAAAACACGACGCTTTTATTCATCAAGGACGCATTAAATTACTCAGAAGTGACGGTAAAGACACGTTTGTTCATCTGAACAATTAGTTCCCACAAAAATATGACATTTATAATAATCCTAACTGTTTCTTGATCCTCATATTAGAGTGATTTGTGAAGGATCATGTGACACTGAAGACTGGAGTAATGATAAATTCACAGGAATAAATTATATTCACATAGAAAACAGATGATTTACACTGGAGTAATATTTAAAAAGTGTTTTTGATCAAATAAATGCAGAAGTTTTTTACTGTTCAAAAACTTATTTAGAAAATCTGAACTTTGTAGTTTTAAACAGTCTTGAAAATATGAGAATATATAATAAAGTCAGGATATTTTTCCAATTTATAAATTGTATTTCATGTTTTTGGAAAATGCATGTAACACCATGAAGTAAAATGGTAAAAATCATTTAAGTTAATGAGTTATTTTAATATTATTTATACGTTAATATAGATTTTATTAGTCACTTTTTCATTTTAATTTTTTATTAGTTTCCAGTTAAACTTAAACTGGTCTCAGTTCGTTTCCCAGTCTCCATTTTTGTTTAGTTTAATTCTTTCATCTAATATTACATTTCAGCGTTTAAGAGTTTAACACTGAGTGTGTGGCACCTCAGGCTGTGTGTGTGTGTCTTTTGAAGTGTTAAAGCGGTATTAACGGCACGCTCATTCTGTCCGGGCAGGAGTGAGGAATGATAATCCGACCCGTGTTTTACCTGAAGACGTTTAACCTCACACACACACACACATCTGAACTGTGTATGCGATGAATGTAAATCTGTCTTCATCTCTGGGGATCTTAATACCTGAGACTGTTATCAGCAGCTTTAGTCCCGGATCTCGGCTCGGGTTGCTCTGCGCTGGACTGGAGCGGGTCGGGCTGAGGGGCGATCGAGAGCCTCGAGGGGACGCAGATTGTTTTACACATAAGACTCTGAGAAGTTAATGAAGATAACTGCAGCTTTAACTAAGAAATCCTTCATCTCAGTCACTTCATTACTTCTGTGTTACGCTGGACAAACTTATATAAACTTGTGAAACTGGAAAAATGAGAATATGATGCAAAAGTTCATTTATTTCAGTAATTCAACTTAAAAGCTGAAACTAATATATTATATAGACTCATTACATGCAAAGTGAGATATTTCAAGCCTTTATTTGTTAGAATTTTAATGATTATGTATTACAGATATCACTGTAAAAAATATTTTCAAGATTTGTTATCACAACATATTTTCTTTTGTCAAATCAACTTTATAATAATTTATTTAGTTGAGATAACTTATTATTTTGAGTTTCTGATTGTTAAATTAATCTACTTCATTGTATTAACTCACTTTTTCCAGTTCAATGAACTTAAAATTTTAAGGCAACCCAGGTTACTTACTTTTTTAAGTTAAACCAACAATATTTTTTTACAGTATAGTAATCATAACATTTTTTCTGTTGTCAAATCAACTTAAATTATTTATTTAGTTCAGATAACATATAATTTTGAGTTTCTGATGGTTAAATTAATCTCCTTCATTGTATTAACTCACTTTTTCCAGTTCAATGAACTTAAAATTTTAAGGCAACCAGGTTACTTACTTTTTTAAGTTTAACCATCAATATTTTTTTACAGTGTATCTGTAATCCATAATCATCAAAATTATAACAAATAAAGGCTTGAAATATCTCACTTTGCATGTAACGAGTCTATATAATATAATAGTTTGAACTTTTAAGTTGAATTACTGAAATAAATGAGTTTCACCTGTATATGATTAAATATACATATATGCACACATGCCATTCAAAAGTTTTGACTGTTTTTATAAGAAGTCTGTTCTGCTCACCAAGGCTACTTTTAATTAGTAAAACCATTAATATTGTCAAATAATATCATGATAATTTAAAATATCTTTTTTCTATCTGAATTTAGAGTAAAGTGTAATCTATTCATCATTAATTTTCATCATCATTACTCCAGTCTTCAGTGTCACATGACCCTCCAGAAATCACTCTAATATGAGGATCTGATGCTCAAGAAACATTTATGATTATTATCAATGTTGAAAACAGTTATTTACAATTTTTTTCAGGATTTTTTGATGAATAAAAAGTTTAAAAGGGGAAAGAAAAAAAATATCAATACTTATATTCAGCAAGGACACAATCAATTGATCAAAAGTGACAGTAGAGACATTAATAATGATACAAAAGATTCTCTATCTAATATTTATCTATCTAATAATTATCTAATAATATTTTAAATAAATGAAATGGAACTTTCTATTCATCAAAGATTCCTGAAAAAAATTGGACACAACTGTTTTCAACACCCATAATAATCATAAATGTTTATTGAGAAGAAAATCATATTAGTGATTTCCGAAGGATTGCGCGTGTGTGTGTGTGTGAGAGAGACCATACGGGATCTCGTGTGTCCGTTCATCATGATTGTGTGTGTGTGTGTGTGTGTGTGTGTGTGTGTCCATTCGTCATGATGGTGTGTGTGTGTGTGTCCGTTCATCATGATGGTGTGTGACCCTTCAGACGTCTGAGTGAAAGCTTCATTTCTGTGTGTCACACACTGACGGGGGGATTACAGGGTAGAGGTGAACCTGACAGAGGACGATTGTTGCGTTTCCCTGATCTATTATCATTCCTCCTGCTGTCAGAGCGCCCGTCACACACACTCCCTCCTGCTGTCACACACACTTCCTCCAACTCATCGAAGTTTACTGGGATTTTCCCCAAAAAATAACCACAGAGAGTCTCGCTATCTGACAATAAAGTAAACAGACAAACCAAAATATATTCAGACACTTCAGCATTTCTCACATTATCACAGTTTATTGGCTTTAGTTTAGAAAATGCTAACGAAATATGACCATAATCAGTGGATATTTGACTGGTTTTGTCCGTGCTTCTGTTGGACTCTCACACATGAATTATGTTGAATATCTGTCAGCTGTTAAATTGAACTCCACAATTAGATAATACCAGTTTAGCTCAACCAGCCCAAGCAATGCTTCATGTTGTTCAGTGTGTGTGTGTATAAAGAGCATTAGCGATTACAGAAAACACACATCAGCAGAACATCATCAGCTCAAAGTGGCATTTTTCGTCACAAATGTTTTTTATTCAGAGTATGAAGCATTTTTGGGTGTAATATGTCACAGTTTTCTTTATGTTGCTCTCCTCACTTACACAAATGACATATTACTATAGTGTCCTGCACACACTAGTGAACGGATATCAAAAATGATATCTGGTGTCCGAATAATTTTTGGTTTGACTGTATAATATAATTGGAGAGGAAACGAGGTCTTGATGTGTCCCTGCTGTTGTTCCCGTCAGGAATCTACGAGACCCCCGGAGGAACGATTCTGCTCCAGGCTCATCTGGACATCGAGACCTTCACCATGGACCGCGAGGTGCGCAGGATCAAGCAGAACCTCGGCATCAAGTTCGCAGAGCTCATCTATAACGGTACGGGTCTAGATCGGCTCTTCTATAACGTTACGGGTCTAGATCGGCTCATCTATAACGGTACGGGGCTAGATCGGCTCTTCTATATCGGTACGGGTCTAGATCGGCTCGTCTATAACGGTACGGGTCTAGATCGGCTCGTCTATAACGGTACGGGTCTAGATCGGCTCGTCTATAACGGTACGGGTCTAGATCGGCTCATCTATAACGGTACGGGTCTAGATCGGCTCTTCTATAACGGTACGGGTCTAGATCGGCTCGTCTATAACGGTACGGGTCTAGATCGGCTCTTCTATAACGGTACGGGTCTAGATCGGCTCGTCTATAACGGTACGGGTCTAGATCGGCTCTTCTATAACGGTACGGGTCTAGATCGGCTCATCTATAACGGTACGGGTCTAGATCGGCTCATCTATAACGGTACGGGGCTAGATCGGCTCGTCTATAACGGTACGGGTCTAGATCGGCTCGTCTATAACGGTACGGGTCTAGATCGGCTCGTCTATAACGGTACGGGTCTAGATCGGCTCTTCTATAACGGTACGGGTCTAGATCGGCTCGTCTATAACGGTACGGGTCTAGATCGGCCGTCTATAACGGTACGGGTCTAGATCGGCTCTTCTATAACGGTACGGGTCTAGATCGGCTCGTCTATAACGGTACGGGTCTAGATCGGCTCTTCTATAACGGTACGGGTCTAGATCGGCTCTTCTATAACGGTACGGGTCTAGATCGGCTCGTCTATAACGGTACGGGTCTAGATCGGCTCTTCTATAACGGTACGGGTCTAGATCGGCTCTTCTATAACGGTACGGGTCTAGATCGGCTCATCTATAACGGTACGGGTCTAGATCGGCTCGTCTATAACGGTACGGGTCTAGATCGGCTCTTCTATAACGGTACGGGTCTAGATCGGCTCGTCTATAACGGTACGGGTCTAGATCGGCTCGTCTATAACGGTACGGGTCTAGATCGGCTCTTCTATAACGGTACGGGTCTAGATCGGCTCATCTATAACGGTACGGGTCTAGATCGGCTCGTCTATAACGGTACGGGTCTAGATCGGCTCGTCTATAACGGTACGGGGCTAGATCGGCTCGTCTATAACGGTACGGGGCTAGATCGGCTCTTCTATATCGGTACGGGTCTAGATCGGCTCGTCTATAACGGTACGGGTCTAGATCAGCTCATCTATAACGGTACGGGTCTAGATCGGCTCGTCTATAACGGTACGGGTCTAGATCGGCTCGTCTATAACGGTACGGGTCTAGATCGGCTCTTCTATAACGATACGGGTCTAGATCGGCTCGTCTATAACGGTACGGGTCTAGATCGGCTCGTCTATAACGGTACGGGTCTAGATCGGCTCTTCTATAACGGTACGGGTCTAGATCGGCTCGGGTCTAGATCGGCTCATCTATAACGGTACGGGTCTAGATCGGCTCTTCTATAACGGTACGGGTCTAGATCGGCTCGTCTATAACGGTACGGGGCTAGATCGGCTCATCTATAACGGTACGGGTCTAGATCGGCTCGTCTATAACGGTACGGGTCTAGATCGGCTCGTCTATAACGGTACGGGTCTAGATCGGCTCATCTATAACGGTACGGGGCTAGATCGGCTCATCTATAACGGTACGGGTCTAGATCGGCTCGTCTATAACGGTACGGGTCTAGATCGGCTCGTCTATAATGGTACGGGGCTAGATCGGCTCATCTATAACGGTACGGGTCTAGATCGGCTCATCTATAACGGTACGGGTCTAGATCGGCTCGTCTATAACGGTACGGGTCTAGATCGGCTCGTCTATAACGGTACGGGGCTAGATCGGCTCTTCTATATCGGTACGGGTCTAGATCAGCTCGTCTATAACGGTACGGGTCTAGATCGGCTCATCTATAACGGTACGGGTCTAGATCGGCTCATCTATAACGGTACGGGTCTAGATCGGCTCGTCTATAACGGTACGGGTCTAGATCGGCTCGTCTATAACGGTACGGGGCTAGATCGGCTCTTCTATATCGGTACGGGTCTAGATCGGCTCGTCTATAACGGTACGGGTCTAGATCGGCTCATCTATAACGGTACGGGTCTAGATCGGCTCGTCTATAACGGTACGGGTCTAGATCGGCTCATCTATAACGGTACGGGTCTAGATCGGCTCGTCTATAACGGTACGGGTCTAGATCGGCTCGTCTATAACGGTACGGGTCTAGATCGGCTCATCTATAACGGTACGGGTCTAGATCGGCTCGCCTATAACGGTACGGGTCTAGATCGGCTCGTCTATAACGGTACGGGTACGGTTCTAGATCGGCTCATCTATAACGGTACGGGTCTAGATCGGCTCATCTATAACGGTACGGGTCTAGATCGGCTCATCTATAACGTTACGGGTCTAGATCGGCTCTTCTATAACGGTACGGGTACGGTTCTAGATCGGCTCATCTATAACGGTACGGGTCTAGATCGGCTCGTCTATAACGGTACGGGTACGGTTCTAGATCGGCTCATCTATAACGGTACGGGTCTAGATCGGCTCATCTATAACGGTACGGGTCTAGATCGGCTCATCTATAACGTTACGGGTCTAGATCGGCTCTTCTATAACGGTACGGGTACGGTTCTAGATCGGCTCATCTATAACGGTACGGGTCTAGATCGGCTCGTCTATAACGGTACGGGTCTAGATCGGCTCGTCTATAACGGTACGGGGCTAGATTGGCTCATCTATAACGGTACGGGGCTAGATCGGCTCATCTATAACGGTACGGGTCTAGATCGGCTCATCTATAACGGTACGGGTCTAGACCGGCTCGTCTATAACGGTACGGGTCTAGATCGGCTCGTCTATAACGGTACGGGTCTAGATCGGCTCATCTATAACGGTACGGGTCTAGATCGGCTCGTCTATAACGGTACGGGGCTAGATCGGCTCATCTATAACGGTACGGGTCTAGATCGGCTCTTCTATAACGGTACGGGTCTAGATCGGCTCGTCTATAACGGTACGGGTCTAGATCGGCTCTTCTATAACGGTACGGGTCTAGATCGGCTCGTCTATAACGGTACGGGTCTAGATCGGCTCGTCTATAACGGTACGGGTCTAGATCGGCTCATCTATAACGGTACGGGTCTAGATCGGCTCTTCTATAACGGTACGGGTCTAGATCGGCTCATCTATAACGGTACGGGTCTAGATCGGCTCGTCTATAACGGTACGGGTCTAGATCGGCTCGTCTATAACGGTACGGGTCTAGATCGGCTCGTCTATATCGTCTCCATCCATCCATCTATATTTTTTTATACTTTATTTTAATTTTTTTATACTTTTATAAAATAATATATAATATATAATATAATTTATATAATTTTATACTAATTATAACCTATCTATTTTAATTATTTAATTCTTAAATAATCGGCTCGTCGTTAATTTTTTTTTATACTTTTATAAAATAATATATAATATATTATATAATTTATATAATTTTATACTAATTATAACCTATCTATTTTAATTATTTAATTCTTAAATAATCGGCTCGTCTATAACGGTATGGGTCTAGATCGGCTCGTCTATATCGTCTCCATCCATCCATCTATATTTTTTTATACTTTATTTTAATTTTTTTTTTATACTTTTATAAAATAATATATAATATATTATATAATTTATATAATTTTATACTAATTATAACCTATCTATTTTAATTATTTAATTCTTATGTACCATTAAATACATAATAATTAAATATTTTATGATATTAATAATTTAATTTAAAATTGTTTTATTTTAAATCATATATTTATTATACATTTAAGTTCATATTCAAACACACACACACACACACAGATATACTCTCTGTCTCTCTCTCTGTGTCTGTGTGTGTGTGTCTCAGGTGTCTTAATCTGTGTGTGTGAGCAGCAGTCTCTCTCTCTCTCTCTCTCTCGGCTCCTCCTCCGTCATAATAGGATTTGCCCCATTAGAGGCTGATTACTGAGGCTCTGCTATTAAATCTGCATGTGATCGTGAGGGCCGTCCCTCAGAGGTGTGTGTGAGCAGCGGGACACTCACCACAGATTAAACTCATTACAATCTTACACTGAGAGCCAGTCCACGTCCCACAGAGAGACGGCTGCTTCACACACCTGTGCGCTGCTGAACATATCGCAGCCTTGCTGACACACACACACACACACACACACACACACACACACGCCATGTTCGTTCTCAAAAACACTAAGCAGGAAAATTTTTTTTTTTTTTTGCAGCCAAATGATGTCCGTAAACAACGTCTCCTAAAAACACACACTATTAATCTTTTACACTGCTGAAGTTGAAAAAGAGCAAGTGTAATCATGCAATGATCGTGAAGCTTCATGAAGAATCAGATCATCTGATCAAAATAGTTTTCGTTTGAACCTTGAATTTAATTTGCTGTATTACTGTCCTGTCAAACAAATGCGGCTGATTTTTTTTTGTTGTTTTAAATAAAGTGAAAGACTAAAGACTGTAAAAATAATTTTTCAAAGGTGTACTGTGAATAAAACTGATTTTATAAGAGTACATTTTACAAGAAAATATTTCAAAATATTACATATTTTACAATATTTTTACAATATTACAAAATTTCAGTCTTTTGTGTTATTTGCAGTTTCTTTGTAATCAATTGTAAGAATCCACTTTCGATTTCTGAGGGAAAACTGTTTCTACACCAATGGTTCAGTGCAGTGATTCAGTGCAGTGATTCAGTGCAGTGATTCAGTACAGTGATTCAGTACAGTAATTCTGTGCAGTGATACAGTGCAGTGATTCAGTACAGTGATGCGGTACAGTGATTCAGTGCAGTAATTTAGTGCAGTGATTCAGTACAGTGATTTAGTGCAGTGATTCAGTACAGTGATTCAGAGCAGTGATTCAGTGATACGGTACAGTGATTTTGTTACAATGATTCAGTACAGTGATTCAGTTCAGTGATACAGTGCAGTGGTTCAGTACAGTGATTCAGTACAGTGATTCAGAGCAGTGATTCAGTACAGTGATTTGTTACAATGGTTCAGTACAGTGATTCAGAGCAGAAATACGGTACAATGCATTGTTACAATGGTTCAGAATAGTGATTCAGTACAGTGATTCAGTACAGTGATACAGTGCAGTGATTTTTACAATGGTTCAGTAGAGTGATTCAGAGCAGAAATACGGTACAATGCATTGTTACAATGGTTCAGAACAGTGATTCAGTACAGTGATTCAGAGCAGTGATGCTGTACAGTAATTTGTTACAATGGTTCAGGACAGTGATTCAGTACAGTGATTCAGTACAGTGATTCAGAGCAGTGATACTGTACAGTATTTGTTACAATGGTTCAGAACAGTGATTCAGTACAGTGATTTGTTACAGTGATTCAGTACAGTGATACAGTGCAGTGATTTTTACAATGGTTCAGTAGAGTGATTCAGAGCAGAAATACGGTACAATGCATTGTTACAATGGTTCAGAACAGTGATTCAGTACAGTGATTTGTTACAGTGATTCAGTACAGTGATTCAGAGCAGTGATACAGTACAGTATTTTGTTACAATGGTTCAGTACAGTGATTCAGTACAGTGATTTGTTACAGTGATTCAGTACAGTGATTCAGAGCAGTGATACTGTACAGTAATTTGTTACAATGGTTCAGAACAGTGATTCAGTAAAGTGGTTCAGTTCTTTGATTCAGTAGCTCAACAGCCACCATTTTATTGAAGATCCAAGATTTACATGATCTCGGAAACCTTCGATATATGAGGGAGTTTTCTAGACCTGGAACTGTACTAGAAATGTATATAATGAATATAGTTTTTTTTCTAGTTATGTTAAGCTTAATATAAAATATACATTGAGTAAATAATATTATTAATAATAAAAATCAAAACTATCACAAACTACTAGAAAAGCCATGCAAGTTCATAAGTCATCAATATTGTGAACCATTGAAACGTACGAAACTACATAATTTTTCACTATTGATCTATTGTAACAAAACAACCTCAGACAACTAGAAAAATCTATGCAAATGTAAATTCAGAGTGAACATTGAAGAACGTTCACTTTAGAAATTGAAGTTGTTTATTCTTATTTTAATATTTTGCCACTCCTAGTTTCTGTAAATAAAATCATTAGCTGCTTTGTCATTATTGTCACTTATTTACTTGGATTATTTATTTATGCATCTACTTCTTAAATGAACACAGCAGTTTTTGTCTTGATTTTTGGTTTATATATTTGGATTTAAATGATCACGTTCTGTTCAAGCCTTTAGAAATCTGCTCATTTTGTTACAATGACAATAAAGAAATCTATAATCTGACATTGTGAGAGTCCTCGAGATGTGTTGTGTTGTGTTGTGTATTAATGCAGTGTTGTGGTTGTGTGTGTGCTCAGGGTTCTGGTACAGTCCGGAGTGTGAGTTTGTCCGTCACTGTGTGGAGAAATCTCAGGAGAACGTGGAGGGTCGTGTTCAGCTGTCGGTGTTTAAAGGACAGGTTTACATCCTCGGTCGAGAGTCGCCCAAATCACTGTACAACGAGGAGCTGGTCAGGTAAACACACAACATCACCCTGTTTAAACACAACTTCACGTAGCCGAAGCCTGATGGTCCGAATGAGCCAGCGAGACGGACTTGTTTTAGTTTCACTCGAAGTAGATTCCTATTGGTCAGTCATGACCTGCGTTGGAACTTCAAATAATAGTCCCAATTAGACGCCTGTCTCTTTTACACGCCTGGTGTGGCTGCAGGTTTGGGTAAATAAAAGCCCGAGCTTTTTATTTGAAGTTTTACGGTTTTGACTAGATCAAAACAAAGGCTGTGATTAAAATATATCATTAAATATATTCACTCTGAAATTGTTAAATTTACTATATACACTGTTTTCAGCGTCTCAGTTCACAAGAAATGTTCACAGAAAACAAATTTGATATTTTTATTTTAGGGCTGTGCAAAAATTAATTGCGATTAATCGCATCCAAAATAAAAGTCTGTGTTTACATATTATATTTGTGTGTGCTGTATATAATTATATATATATATATATATATATAAATACATAATCTATATTATATAAATATAAATATTTATTATATGAATAACACATTTTCTTAAATATACAGTATACATGCATGTGTTTGTATTTATATATACAAAATAATTTTATACAGCACACACAAATATATTATGTAAACACTGACTTTTATTTTGGATGCAATTAATTTTTGCACAGCCCTAATTTATTTATTTATTTATTTATTTGTAATGTACAACTGATATAGTCCTGTCTTAATTTTTTAAGTTAATTTTATCTTTTTTATTATTATATAAAATGAAATATGTATTTGATACATTATATAAGAATAATAATTATAATTATCAATGTTATTATTTTTGTAATTCAGCCTGACAGGGCTCCTAAAACACCAGTGTGAATGTAATATGGACTGAGAGACTTTTACAACTAAAGTATATAATATATATATAAAGTAGAGCCAGGCCGATATATCGGACGATATTAGGCATTTTCCATAATATCGGTATCGGCAGTTATAATGGCTGAAAAATGAATATTTAAAAAATAAAATAAAAATGGACGAAACACACTTCAATCATCTCTCCTCGGCCTGTTATATTGAAAATGTATGTTTTACAATTTGCATTATGATGTTATCTATTGCTAAATTATGGCTCATCATAGACTATAGCTAACCACAAAGCTAGCTAACGCCACTATCATCAGTGGAAGACCGCTAACGTTAACGTTAATGAGCTTGGAAACCATGATTACAGTAATGATTACTGTATTTATAACTCGCATATCTCTAGTTACAGTCCCTGCATTGTAAAATGTAAGTTAGACTTGCGAGGAGTGAACATTTAGACATAGAGAAAAAGTATCAAACGGATCTTGTGCAGAAAAGTTAGCTTTTCTTTTACACGTGTGTGAAATCCAACAATATTTAATTATTTTTTAATTAAAAATCCGGCCGATATATCGGATTTTAAAACCCAAAAATATTTTTATCGGTCAGGCTCTAATATAAAGTCATGTGATCATCAGAGAATGTATTATTAAAATGATAACAGGAATTAAATCAAATATTTGCTTTTGTAAAGAAACCAAAGCAACGTTTATTAATGTGAGCAGTGAGTGTGTGCTAGCGGTTTAACATGAGCGGTTGTGTGATGATGATGATGTCACAGGAGCGTCTCTGAACGCTGAGATCGCTGGGGTGTGACCCCTGTGTGACCCCTGCGTGTCCTGAGGGCAGATCCGCTCATCTCAGCGCTGGTCCAGATGCTAATGGCCTCTCAGCCGTTTCATGGCGTTTAAGTGTGGAAGCGTACGGTGTTTCCTTGACCTCCATTAGCTGGAGGGGACAGGACAAGAGCGTCCCGTGAATGAAGCGCATTATGAGTTTTTAGTTTGGGATCTTTTGTCTCACTCTAAAGGCAGTCTCAAAGGGACCAGGATGCTAGATCAACAAACTCACGGTTGCAGGATTAGTTTCGAGTGACAAAACCAAACCAATCCAACTCTCTCTGTTAACTGACATCATCAGTCGCCAACAGCCAATCACACGCTGAGAACGAGTGAAACTAAGATTCATTTCTCGCGAGAGAAGCAGCGCAATTCACTTATTATATAAAAGTTTTAAAATATTAAGAATTTACAGAAATTTACGACTAAAAGATCCAGTCTCGCTGCGGTATATCAGAGCAAGTAAACGTTACTTTATACGGTTAGAGAGATTTGAACATTAAAGCTCACATTTATTTTCCTTTAAGTGTTTTTAAGTTGAGAATGAGAAGTTTTGAGTTGGACTCCCTCACACGTCAATGTTTTCGTTGAGATTTCATTGTGCATAATCGGCTTTTATTTGTGTGTCTTTGTACGTATGTAATGATCAGTGTTGGGTGTAACTAATTACTAAGTAATTAGTTACTGTAATTTAATTACTTTTCCCTTGAAAATGTAAAGTAAGGGATTACTCTTCATTTATCTGTAATTTAATTACAGTTACTTCTGATGTAATTGAGGAAAATACTGTGTATAGATCAATCCGATCTCACAGCGATTCGTATGCGTTTTATGAGGTGTCTAAATCGTACGACCGCACTCGTATGAATTATTGTAAAATATGAATGAAAAAGTGTGAAATGTCATGAGATCAGACATAAAACAATAGTGGGTTTATCATCAAAATGTATTGTCTGATGCTAAAAAGTGTGTTTATAATGTAACCTTCTCCACCTTGGTCAGTTTAAGGATAATTCATGCAATTTTATAGTGTTTATTTGAAAGAATTAAAACAGATTCATGTCTATTCTTGTATTATTCAGCTGGAAATGGGATTTTGTAAGTAATTAGTAATTAAAAGTAATTAAATACTTTTCAGAGAGAGTAATTAGTACAGTAATCTAATTACATTGTTGAAGAGGTAATTAGTAACTAGTAATTAATTACTTTTTTAGAGTAACTCACCCAACACTGGTAATAATGTGATGTAATTTGGCCAGGTCTCCCTTGCAAAAGAGATTTTTAATCTCAATGGGTTTTTACCTGGTTAAATAAAGGATAAATAAATAAAAAATGTAGTCATTTTAAAGCTTTATCTATTGATTCTAAAGCGTATATTACCTTCATTTAAACTCTGCGTAATTATAATTGATGAACTAAAATTGCACGTGTGATCGATTAAGGGTGTAATCATTTCGTAAATACTATCTAAATGTATTATTCTAAATGAGCATTACTAAAAGCCAGACCATTTTGTCTTTGAAAATCATTTGTGTGTAACTAAACTGAAACACACCTGGCTAGCCAACAAAACCGACACACACCGTAATAATGTAGTAATCACGCTTTACACAGACTTTGCATCATAAGCGTGTCTCGCGGACGATCTGGCGATCAAGCGGTGTTATTAACACAGCGGTTTCCTCACACACACGAGGCATTGATCCGCTAGAAATGTCACAATGTGTTCCTGGGGCGAATACACAGATTCAAATGTCAGTCAGTCGAGGAGTCGCACTCATTAACACGCTCAATCTGAGATTTGTGTGTGTGTGTGTGTGTGTAACAGCTGTCACGAGATGTGATTGTTTTACATGTGCTCTTCTGTAATGTAAATCATTTATGTATAGCAGGATAAATTTATATAAATGTTGCCTAAAATCACGTTTAGATTCATTTATTTTTTTTAAATCGGAGTCGTCTGTCCATATTCACACATTTACACTATTGTTCAAAAGTAAGAAGTGACAGTAAATAGAATACAAATCGTTACAAAAGATTCTATGCTTTTGAACTTTCTATTCATCAAAGAATCCTGAAAGAATGTAATGTAACATGGATCATAATCAGAAATGTGATTATGCGAGATTTCTGACGAATCATGTGTTATGTTTGTAGTCTCCATCAGTTATTGCTCTGGATTAACGCCTCAGTTTCTCCTGTGTTTTTCAGCATGGATGTCCAAGGCAAGTACGATCCCTGCGACGCCACAGGATTCATCAAGATCAACGCGGTCAGGTCAGTGAAACCCTGAGTGTGTGTGTGTGTGTGTGTGTGTGTGAACATGTCTGATAGATGCTCTTCTGTGTTTCAGGCTGAGGGAACACAACCGTCTGCAGGGATTCGCCCAGAAGAAACTCTGATCCGTGTGTATCTGATGACCAATCACATGATGTATGACAGATGAATGATTACAACTCGAAAAATGAGAATATTGAGCAAAAGTTCATTTATTTCAGTAATTCATCTTAAAAGCTGAAACTAATATATTATATAGACTCATTACATGCAAAGTCAGATATTTCAAGCCTTTATTTGTTATAATTGTGATGATTATGGATTACAGATATGAAAACCTTTTCACAATATTTTAATTTTGAATTTGGGCAGTGGTGGAATGTAACGAAGTACAAATACTTCGTTACTTTACTTAAGTACATTTTTCACGTATCTTTACTTTACTTAAGTAGAATAAATAGTGCATACTTTTTACTTTTACTTCGTTACATTTTGCAGCAATTATTATACGTTCTACTCCACTACAACTTCTGTTACTTTTTCATTACATTTTCTGATCAGTTTTTTCCCTGCCAAAACGTAAACGTTGCACGTTTGTCTCGGTTGCCATAGATATATCAACTAAATGCGTCTCGCACGCAGTGTGTTTATCGTGCAATTTATACGCGAAAATTTGTTTTTACATGCTTAGGAAACGCACCGTGTGTAATATACGTTTGGTTAGGATTATGGCAAGCCAAGAGGTTCAGAATTACACCATAAATTAATCGCGTTTACGGCCAAACATAGTTATTAACATATAGTAAGGATATGGCTTATTGCCTAATTGCAAGCTTGTTTCAGAAATGGTGACAACAATTTTTTTCCATCATTATTGATCATCATTATAGGAGTATTAGGTTCAATGAGTTAGAATTAAATGTTTTATTAATCATTAGAAAATAGTCATTAAGAGAATCAATTATTATGCAAGTACTTTTACTTTTAATACTTAAAGTACATTTAAAATCAGGTACTTTTTACTTTTTACTTAAGTATGGTTGTCATTGTGTTACTTCTACTTTTACTGAAGTAAATATTTATCTGGTTATTTGTACTTTTACTTAAGTACATTCAATACTTCCTCCACCACTGAATTTGGGGTTTTCATATCTTTAATCCATAATTGTCACAATTAGAACAAATAAAGGCTTGAAATATCTCATTTTGCATGTAATGAGTCTATATAGTATATTAGTTTCAGCTTTTAAGTTGAATTACTGAAATAAATTCACTTTTACATGATATTCTCATTTTTTTAGTTTCACCTGTATGTGATTATTGCTCAACATGTATGATCTCAGCAAACAGGGAACGTTCTCAGAACTGTAGCTTACGTGTCTCTCAAGGTTACGATCTTCCATGAAACTCCATTCATTTTCTCCTTAGGGAAATTTCCAGATCCGGCCCACATCTGGGTTGATTCTTAATGATAACTTAAAAACTTGATTTAAATAGACTACATTACCCATGATGCTGACACCAATCAGAGAATTCGAAGATAGTTAAACACACCAAAAGATCCGGTTAGCTCCGCCTACTCCCATGAAGCACTGCGAATGATGTAGTTGATCTCTCTACACTCTCAAAATACTTAAATGTTTGTATATATAGATATATTTATGCATATAATAAACTTCTGATGAAATATATGTAATCAACATTTGTAAATGAGTAGTTTTGTGTCTCCATTATTTATAAAGCACAATTTAAAAACAGAAGTTGACCAAAGTGCTGTAAAAGTACAAAAGTAATTTGATTACGCTGTTTGCAATGCATCACGGGATTGTAGTTCTTTCCCTCAGTAAAGCCGTTAAGGTCACAGTCCGATTTTTTTTTTTTAACACATAAATCCCTGTGGGAAAAATGATTGGAAAAAAATACTTCCAGAACCAGCGCCTCTGAAAAATAGAATGCCTGTTGAAATTTGTCTGTCTCTAATAATGTTGATGTTCATGAAACTGTTTTAGAACTGGAATTCTGTTTTTTTTTTTTTAAATGTTGCAACTTGTTTCAGAATGTTCAGAGAACATTCCATTCTCATAATGTGTGAAGAGTGATAGAATGGAATGTTCCATTTTTAACAGTTTTTATGTTTAAGAAAAAAACCGACATTCAGAGAACATTTAACATATTACATTTTTATAATTTAATTAGAACGTTAGCGAAATATTCTCTGAGCGTTTTTTTGTTTGCTGAGATGGCGTTATCGTAATTCTTAACTCTGATTGAATGAGCTGCATATGCAGATAATAAAGTACTTCGGACGTCCATCAGTTTCTCGTTGCTTTTAAAGCTCCACACACACCCTGCAGAGAGACGGAACAAATAACCATCATGATGTGACATGCTTGATCTAAAACCATGTTTCTGTCCTCGGCAAAGCCATTTACTCTCCGTCAACAAATACTCTCGCACTTCTTCCTCTTTAGGTGCAAACTAAGGCTTTCTGATCCTTTTCCATTTCCCTGTGTGTGTGTGTGTGTGTGTGTGTGTGTGTGAACGAGGAGACAGAACCCGGATCCCCCGCTGCTGGTAATAGACGCTGGCTCTTTCAGTCGGTCCTGAACTCAATTACACCACAGGCGTCTCATCTGCTGCTCAAATTACACACCGGCCCCTTTATACACAACCACATGCATACTCAAGACACACACACACCTCGAGAACACATGCATACGGGTACACACATCACCCCGAGAACACACACACCTCGAGAACACACATCGCCTCAAGAACACACATCGCCTCAAGAACACACATCACCCCCAGAAAACACACACACCTCGAGAACACACATCACCTCCAGAACACACACACCTCCAGAACACACATCACCTCCAGAACACACACACATCACCTCGAGAACACTCACACCTCAAGAACACACATCACCTCCAGAACACACACACCTCGAGAACACACACACCTCGAGAACACACATCGCCTCAAGAACACACATCACCCCCAGAAAACACACACACCTCGAGAACACACATAACCTCCAGAACACACACACATCACTTCGAGAACACTCACACCTCAAGAACACACATCACCTCGAGAACACACATCACCTCGAGAACACACATCACCTCGAGAACACACACACCTCCAGAACACACACACATCACCTCGAGAACACACATCACCTCGAGAACACACACACCTCCAGAACACACATCACCTCCAGAACACACATCACCTCCAGAACACACATCACCTCCAGAACACACATCACCTCCAGAACACACACACACCTCCAGAACACACACACCTCCAGAACACACATCACCTCCAGAACACACATCACCTCGAGAACACACATCACCTCCAGAACACACATCACCTCGAGAACACGCACACCTCCAGAACACACATCACCTCCAGAACACACATCACCTCCAGAACACACATCACCTCCAGAACACACATCACATCCAGAACACACATCACCTCCAGAACACACACACCTCCAGAACACACACACATCACCCCAGAACACACATCACCTCCAGAACACACATCACCTCCAGAACACACATCACCTCCAGAACACACATCACCTCCAGAACACACATCACCTCCAGAACACACATCACCTCCAGAACACACATCACCTCCAGAACACACATCACCTCCAGAACACAAACACATCACCTGAGAACACACATCACCTCCAGAACACACATCACCTCCAGAACACACATCACCTCCAGAACACACATCACCTCCAGAACACACACACCTCCAGAACACGCATCACCTCCAGAACACACACACCTCCAGAACACACATCACCTCCAGAACACACACACCTCCAGAACACACATCACCGCCAGAACACACATCACCTCCAGAACACACATCACCTCCAGAACACACACATCACCTCGAGAACACACACATCACCTCCAGAACACACATCACCTCCAGAACACACATCACCTCGAGAACACGCACACCTCCAGAACACACATCACCTCCAGAACACACATCACCTCGAGAACACGCACACCTCCAGAACACACATCACCTCCAGAACACACATCACCTCGAGAACACGCACACCTCCAGAACACACATCACCTCCAGAACACACATCACCTCCAGAACACACATCACCTCCAGAACACACATCACCTCGAGAACACGCACACCTCCAGAACACACATCACCTCCAGAACACACATCACCTCGAGAACACGCACACCTCCAGAACACACATCACCTCCAGAACACACATCACCTCGAGAACACGCACACCTCCAGAACACACATCACCTCCAGAACACACATCACCTCCAGAACACACATCACCTCCAGAACACACACACATCATCTTGAGAACACACATCGTCTTGAAAACACACACCTCCAGAACACACACACCTCGAGATCTATACCATTTTCTAAACTACAGTGAATAAACTGTGATAATGTGAGAAATGTTGAAGATGTCTGGATATATTTGAATGTTATTATATAATAACTTTAGATGATAATCAGGACGTGACAGAGGAAAAGTCCCCGATGAGTTTCTACTTCCGGTGAGATTCTGAAGTGTGCATAAGATGACACTAATTTAACGCACTGTTTAGCGCTCTGGAGTAATTACGTCTTTTGAGACGCAGCTCTCATTGTTGGAGTGACATCACTGACAGGAAGTTGTTTGGTCAGCTTCCTGTGTCTCGTGTGTCTCAGACGCCGAGGTATGAAAGCATCCCGTCTCGTCCAGGTGAATTAATGATCCGTGACCTTCCCTCAATTATGTCTCATTACCCCGCAGCCCCGAGGGATTCTGGGACACAATGGGAAGACATGAGAATTAAGAGTTGAGAGTGAAAACGAATCCGTCTCACGTCACTCGCTGTCGCACAAAGAGCGGCTCTGTTCGGCTAAAATCACAGTAAATCAACATGCAAACATGTGCATTGGCCACAAATATTGTTAACTAAAACTACACCTATTAAAAAAATAATTGTTATTTTTGTTACTTGAAATTAAATATAGGCCCTACGTTCATTGAAATATATTTTTTTTAAATGCTTATTTAATTTCTCATTTTTATTTAGTTTAGTTTTAAATAAAATAACATACAAAACTTAAACTAAAATGGAAAATATGAAAACAAA